GGGCACACTAAATGTCTTATTTTACATTAATATAGGCATTTTCATTAATCCATCTATAATATTTTCCACAAAATTATATATGAAACCCGTTACATAGCATATAAACATGATACATACACTCACAAAATAAAAATTGATGTAAATATGAGATCTGTTTACAAAGCAGCTGTGTAGGTAGTGTCGGAAGAGTTACGTTTTCTCTAGTCAAACTGGGGGATCTGTAGAAAAATATTCTTTTCGTATGCCTTTACTCTATATATAGCAATTCACAACCCTTGTGGGTTTAGTGATTTTTATAATAATAATAATAATAATAATAATAATAATAATAATATTATTATTATTATTATTATCTTCATTCACTCTAAAAATGGTGTGTTGCTGTTTGTTTATTCTGTCCTAACTTGTACACAATGTAAGAGTGCAGTATTTGTATTGTGAGGTAATTATTATTATACTAAAAAAATATTGAGGTAAATGTTTTACAAACTCTTACAAACGTATGTGAATGAACTAAAAGTAGACACATATTAATACGCATTTATCTCGCCTGACCAAGTGATCACTCACTACCTGTTCAGTTTATGTTCTTACATTGTCCGAACTCTGTATCTCGTCCTCTCTCTCGTTTACTCTTTCGTTAACTAGTTGGCTCTCATTGATGATGGTGTCTAAGCTTAGCTGTGATAAAAAGAGATGTCGTAAGACTTTTGCTTTAACCCTTTGAGGGTCGACAGGCCCTCTCCGAAACTCGTTCTCAGGGTCGGCCAAATTTAAAAAAAAAAAAAAATTATTTTCTCTTATGAAAAGATAGAGAATCTTTTCCCGATCATAAAGACACCAAAAGTTTGAAATTTGATAGAAAACTTATGGAATTATGCTCTCGCAAAGTTAGCGGTCTCGGCGATGTTTACGCATCGCCGATTTTGCCCACTTTGAGCCCCATTTTCGGCCAATTCCACTGTACTAGTCGACAAAAACATGACTATTTCGCTAGAACTCCATTTTTTCTATCGAATGGGTGCAAGAAACCACCTATTTATGAAATTCAACTATCCAGTACAGTGGTCAGAATTTAGCAATTTTGCCAATTTCACACAAATTTCAAAAGATGCCAATTTCCGAATAGGGTCCAGAATAAACAAGAAAGACATTCCTGGCACTAAAATGACATTTCCTCTAGTCATTAGTCACGTCTCAAGGCCCCTCTTATATTCTTTTGCTTTCCACTTTGAATTTTTATTCTCAAAAAAAATATAAGATTTACTGTTATGCAGACTACTGCATTAGTGTAAAAAATGGTATAAATATTATTGGTGCACTTGTGAAAGAATATTAGACTCACCAGTTGACGTGTATTGCACGCTTGGCACGATTTGTTTACTTTCGAAATTTGGTAAAAATCGAACATTTCTGCTACTTTGAGCTCAAAATCAAGGTACCTTTCATTGTAAAACCAGTCAAAATCATCTCAATTTCTGTAATATGTCTTCCATTCTATAAAATGAGACCAAGAAAACTAGAATACAACAATAAATACCATACGAAAATACACTGCAAAGTCGCTGATTTATTCTAAAAAAATGGTCAAAGTTTTTTTTTTTCTCATTATGCACTGTGTGCTGCAGGATTTTTTTTAGACTGTGCACACTGACCACATAGACCCATTCTTTCATATGAAGGCCTACCAGCTTTCTCCCACTAGATTTGAGGGCGCTAGAATTTAGGCGTACTAGTACGTCAAAAACCCTGGGTAGTAAGCCGTACTAATACGTCCGAAACCCTCAAAGGGTTAAGTGCTAAGTTAGAGGATGATGGTGTGCCATTCTGGTTTTATTCAGTAAACACCCTGCCACTCACCTCTCACACATTAATATTAATATTTTAAGGTAAGTAATAAGTGTACATGTACTCTGTGTGTATCTTACTTTTTATTGTGCTTTTAATGCCTATTTCAATTGCTAACTTAAGTTGGTGCAAATTTGTTGTCTGGCATTTACTGCTGATTTTGTATGTGCTCTGATAATAATATTTGTGGACCTGTGTGGTAGCCGGGCAGAGGGACAACGTGTATGAATCTGCGTCTGGCCCAGCCACTCCCCCACTCCGCTTTTGTTTACAATTTTCGGCATGAATTATTCATTACTTCTCCCTTTGTTTATGATGGCATCTAAAGGTAGTTGTTAGAAACGATTAAATTCAGTGAACAAGGTATGTCAATGCTAATAATATGGGTCTGGGCCAAAGTGTAGGTAGCCGGTAGGTGTAGCCCAGGCGGGCTACACCTACCAGCTACCTACACTGACTTCCTACAAATAAATACCACTCACCTCTCTTCCTACATTAATACTACACATATTTTAAGGTAAATAATGAGTGTACTGTATGTGTATTTTAACTCTCTGGACTGTTTTAAATATCGTATATTAAGTATGAGATGGAGAGCCAAGGCTACCTACACCTGACTTCCTACAAATAAGTACTACTCACCTCTCGCCCTACATTAAGATTACAAATACGTACTTTAAGATAAGTAATGAGTGTACTGTGTATGTATTTTACTTTTTGTTTTTTTTAATGCCTAGTTCTATTACTAACTTAATATAATTTAGTGTAAACTTGTTGTCTGGCATTTATATGCATTTATAAATGGAAAAAAATGGTGTTCTGCTTTCCAGCGATGTCTGCTTTCCGGCGATAGCCTGGAACCTAACCCGCCATATAAGTGGGGCCCTACTGTATTCACTTTTAATTTTCTTCTCTTACATACCCTATCAAATTCATCCACCAACCTCTGCAACTTCTCTTCAGAATCTCTCAAAAGCACAGTGTCATCAGCAAAGAGCAACTGTGAAAACTCCCACTTTGTGTTTGATTCTTTATATTTTAACTCCACACCTCTTGCCAAGACCCTCGCATTCACTTCTCTTACAACCCCATCTATAAATATATTGAACAACCACAGTGACATCACACATCCTTGTCTAAGGCCTACTTTTACTGGGGAATAATCTCCCTCTCTCCTAAATAAATAACTAAATAAATAACAAAAAGGCACAATACCGTGACTGGAACGATACACAAATAACCCGCACATAAAAGACAGAAGCTTACGACGACGTTTCGGTCCGACTTGGACCATTGACAAAGTCACACTAACAGAGGTGGAGCAGGACGGCTATATATAGGCAGGAAGAGGTGGAGTAGTACTACTACTACTACTACTACTACTACTACCTCCACCTCTTCCTGCCTATATATAGCCGTCCTGCTCCACCTCTGTTAGTGTGACTTTGTCAATGGTCCAAGTCGGACCGAAACGTCGTCGTAAGCTTCTGTCTTTTATGTGCGGGTTATTTGTGTATCCCTCTCTCCTACACACTCTAACCTGAGCCTCACTATCCTCGTAAAAACTCTTCACTGCTTTCAGTAACCTACCTCCTATACCATACACCTGCAACATCTGCCACATTGCCCCCGCTATCCACCCTGTCATATGCCTTTTCCAAATCCATAAATGCCACAAAAACCTCTTTACCCTTATCTAAATAGTACTGTTCACCTATATGTTTCACTGTAAACACTTGGTCTACACACCCCCTACCTTTCCTAAAGCCTCCTTGTTCATCTGCTATCCTACTCTCCGTCTTACTCTTAATTTTTTCAATAATAACTCTACCATATACTTTACCAGGTATACTCAACAGACTTTTTTTTTTTTTTTTAAACAAGTTGGCTTTAATCCGTTCCAGAGAGCTAGCCTTTAGTCGAATTAGCCGTTAGTCAAATTAATTTTCACCATAAGAAATAATGGAAATACAATTAATCCGTTCCAGACAGCCAAAAGTATTAAAAAAATAATTTTTTTCTACATGACATATACATTTCTCTACACAGAAAACAATGAGACATGCCCAATACATACATAAATAAATACTAAAATGACACCTTTATTGAAGAGTATTGTTGAGTGATGAGACATTGTTTTTCTTGAACACACTGGGATTTTCACTAGCATTACAACAAAACATGAGAGTTAGCCTGTCTTTCATAGGCTTGTGTCCCGGGAGTGCCTTTTCCTCCTGAGTTATGAGTAATGTAGGTCCTGTTTGGCATTTTCTTCCGGAACAGGCCTGTTTCGTCACAATTAAACACTTGTTGGGGTTGGAATTTTTCAGCTTCACTATGTCTTATCACACTGTGTATGCCACTATGATTCTTAAATCTCTCAAACCAACCTTTGCTGGCCTTAAATTCACCAATATGAGCACTAGTTCCAGGCATTTTTTCCTGTTCATCTGGGTGTTAGTCGACTGGTGTGGGTCGCATCCTGGGGAAAAAGATTAAGGACCCCAATGGAAATAAGTTAGACAATCCTCGATGACGCAGTGACTTTCTTGGGTTATCCTGGGTGGCTAACCCTCTGGATCAGCCACACCAACAACAGTCTCTCCACATCTTCAAGTAGTACAGCTGACCGTGGTGCAGCAGCAGCTGACGGTGGTGCAGCAACAGATGATGGTAGTGAAGTGCAGCAGCAGCAGCTGACGGTGGTGCAGCAGCAGCTGACTGTAGTACGATAGTATTTCGAAAGTATTTCTCACACTTTTTACCACAGGGTTAGCACTAGAAGCTTTCTTGGGGCCTATGGTAGCTTATTTAGCGGTGACAAGCACTAAAAACACTGGGATACAAAATATATCGCAGGTACACGTGGAATCGACCACAACAGCTTGTAGACATTGGCACTCTGAGTCTTGGAGTGGCTGGGCCAGCTCAGGCTGCGCTCCAGCCACATGAACACGTTCGGGACGAAAGCCGTTAGATGAGTTTTTTGCCGTTGGTAGAGCCAATATTTTTATGCCAAAGAGCGCCGTTAGACTTATTTGGCATTAGTTGATGCTGCCATTGGTCAGGGGTCCACTGTATATAAATTATCTCTCGTATAACCAATTAATTCAGTTTTTTGACAGTAAATGTTATTTTTGTGTGCCTAACAGCAAGTCACAGCAGTCATGCATGAGCACAGAGGGAAGTATCTGGTCAGCAGAGAACTGCATGGATAACAAACACTTCATCTGCGAGCAGACTCGGTGTTTCTACTATAACTATGTGACTACAAACCGCGCCACGACTCAGGGGTAAGAGCAGGTAAAGTTTACACCAGACCTTTGTAGAGTAAGCAAATCAGCTCATTTGTTGTTTTTTAATGTTTATGGGTTTCACTGTTTTTAGAATGCTTTTACTCTGCATGGTCATACTTTCAATTAAGCACAGAGTTAAATGGATTAAAGCAAAGCAATACAAAATTTTTATTCGTAAAAAAACCCGATATTTTATTAGTAATTACCAGTAAATTTAGTATTTATTTTCAGAGTGATTGTAAGAAAATTAGATAAAAAATTAGATAACTGTATGCCTCACAACTGCCAAAATTAAATACCCAATGCAACCAAAAGTTTTGAAGTTGAATATGACTAGATCAAGAACAGAATCCTAAATATACCACCATGTGCAGATTATAGGTGAGGATAGTTGTTGTTTTTTTTTTTTTTGTTATGCAAGAGGAAAATGTCTCCCAATACAGAGTTTTGTCAAATAACCACTGTCTTACTAATGTTGGATATCAGTTATTAAGCAACTGATAAATTACTGGTAATACATACCTGAGGAAAATCTGGCATATACATGCTCAAAATCTCTCACCATGGCTTTAATATTGAATACATATTAGGTAAATATTTGTATATTACAGTATTATTAATGGGATTAGGTCAAGGGTTTCAAACAGAGTTAAGAGTTAAAGAAGGAGTAGCAATAATGTTGAAGGATAGGTTATGGCAGGAAAAGAGGGAATATAAATGTATTAATTCAAGGATTATGTGGAGTAACATAAGGGTTGGATGTGAAAAGTGAGTTACAGTAAGCATTTATGCACTTGGAGGAGAGAGAAGTTTAGAGGAGGGAGAGAGAGAGAGAGAGATTTTGGGAAATGTTGAGTGAGTGCATGGGGAGTTTTGAACCAAGTGTGAGAGTACTTGTGGTTGGGGATTTCAATGCTAAAGTGGGTAAAAACGTTGTGGAGGGAGTAATAGGTAAATTTGGGGTGCCAAGGGTAAATGAAAATGAGGAGCCTTTAATTGAGCTATGTGAAGAAAGAGGTTTGGTATTAAGTAATACATATTTTATGAAAAAGAGGATAAATAAGTATACAAGGTATGATATAGCACATAATGAAAGTAGTTTGTTAGATTATGTATTGGTGGATAAAAGGTTGATGGGTAGGCTTCAGGATGTACATGTTTATAAAGGGGCAACTGATATATGAGATCAATATTTAGTTGTAGCTACAGTTAGAGTAAGATGCAGATGGGACAAAAGAAAAATGGCAACAACAAGTAAGAGAGAGTTGAAAGTGTATAAACTAAGGGAGGAGGAAGTTAAGGTGAGGTATAAGCAACTATTGGCAGAAAGGCGGGCTAGTGCAAGTATGAGTAGTGGGGGGGTTGAAAAGGGTTGGAATAGTTTTAAAAATGCAGCATTAGAATGTGGGGCAGAAGTTTGTGGCTATAGGAGGGTGGGTGCAGGAGGATAGAGTGATTGGTGGAATGATGAAGTAAAGGGTGTGATAAAAGAGAAAAAGTTAGCTTATGAGAGGTTTTTACAAAGCAGAAGTGTTATAAGAAGAGCAGAGTATATGGAGAGTAAAAGAAAGGTGAAGAGAGTAGTGAGAGAGTGCAAAAGGATAGCAGATGATAGAGTGGGATAGCAGATGATAGAGTGGGCAAAAGGATAGCAGATGATAGAGAGTGCAAAAGGATAGCAGATGATAGAGTGGGTCAAGAAATTTTGATGAAAATAAGAAAAAATTTTGGAGTGAGATAAACAAGTTAAGAAAGCCTAGGGAATTAATGGATATGTCAGTTAAAAACAGAGTAGGGGAGTTAGTAGATGGGGAGATGGAGGTATTGGGTAGATGGCGAGAATATTTTGAGGAACTTAGAAAGGGAGACGGTAATTTCATGCACTGGCCAGGGAGGTATAACATCTTTTAGGAGTGAAGAAGAGCAGGATGTGAGTGTGGGGGAGGTACGTGAGGCATTACATAGAATGAAAGGGGGTAAAGCAGATGGAACTGATGGGATTATGACAGAAATGTTTAAAGCAGGGGAAGATATAGTGTTGGAGTGGTTGGTATTTTTGTTTAATAAATGTATGAAAGAGGGGAAGGTACCTAGGAATTGGCAGAGAGCATGTATAGTTCCTTTATATAAAGGGAAGGGGGACAAAAGAGACTGTAAAAATTATAGGGGAATAAGTTTACCAAGTACACCAGGAAAAGTGTATGGTAGGGTTATTATTGAAAGAATTAGAGGTAAGACAGAGAGTAGGATTGCGGATGAGCAAGGAGGCTTTAGAGTGGGGACGGAATGTGTTGATCAAGTGTTTACATTGAAGCATATATGTGAACAGTATTTAGATAATGGTAGGGAAGTTTTCATTGCATTTATGGATTTAGAAAGAGCATCTGATACAGTGGATAGGGAAGGAATGTGGCAGATGTTGCAGGTATATGGAATAGGTAAAGAGTTTTTATGAGGATAGTGAGGCTCAGGTTAGGGTGTGAAGAGAGGGAGATTACTTCCCGGTAAAAGTAGGTCTCAGACAGGGATGTGTAATGTCACCATGGTTGTTTAATATATTTATAGATGGGGTTGTAAAATAAGTAAATGCTAGGGTGTTCGGGAGATAGGTGGGATTAAATTATGGGGAATCAAATACAAAATGGGAATTGACACAGTTACTTTTTGCTGATGATACTTCGCTTATGGGAGATTCTAAAGAAAAGTTGCAGAGGTTAGTGGACGAGTTTGGGAGAACGTGTAAAGGTAGAAAGTTGAAAGTGAACATAGATAAGAGTAAGGTGATGAGGGAATCAAATTATTTAGATAAAGAAAAATTGGATATCACATTGGAGAGAGGAAGAATGGAAGAAGTGAATGTTTTCAGATATTTGGGAGTTGACATGTCAGCTGATGGGTTTATGAAGGATGAGGTTAACCATAGAATTAATGAAGAAAAAAAGGTGGGTGGTGTGCTGAGGTATATATGGAGACAAAAAACATTATCTATGGAGGCAAAGAAGGGAATGTATGAAAGTATAGTAGTACCAACACTGTTATATGGGTGTGAAGCTTGGGTTGTAAATGCTGCAGCGAGGAGGCAGTTGGAGGCAGTGGAGATGACCTTTCGAAGGGCAATGTGTGGTGTAAATATTATGCAGAGAATTCAGAGTGTGGAAATTAGGTGTGGAGTTAATAAAAGCATTAGTCAGAGGACTAAAGAGGGGTTGTTGAGGTGGTTTGATCACTTAGAGAGAATGGATCAAATTAGAATGAGAGTGTAGGGTAAGGAAGGCGGGGTAGGGGTCATCCTCAAAAAGGTTGGAGGGAGGAGTGAATGGAGATGAATGGTTTTTGGAACCTGATGAGCTGTTGGAGTGTGAGCAGGGTAATATTTAGTGAAAGGATTCAGGGAAACCAGTTATTTTTATATAGCCGGACTTGAGTACTGGAAATGGGAAGTACAATGCCTGCACTTTAAAGGAGGGGTTTGGGATATTGACAGTTTGGAGGGATATGTTATATATCTTTATATATGCTTCATAAGTGTTGTATCTGGGCACCTCTGCAAAAACAGTGATTATGTATGAGTGAGGTCAAAGTGTTGAATGATAATGAAAGTATTTTCTTTTTGGGAATTTTCTTTCTTTTTGGGTCACCCTGCCTTGGTGGGAGATGGCCAACTTGTTGAAAAAAAAATATGTATTATCATTTATGTAAATAAAACACTCAAATGAAGCCCCAAATTAAACTTAAAATGTAAATACATTATCAATTCAGGATTGTTGCTTTTGGGAGCAATGTTAATTAGCAAAGATGAGATATTATGAGCCATCTGAGTGGCAGGCAGGTAGCAGCCTCTCACACACCAGGGGGTTAGAGACTAACTCTCAGACTTTAACACTATACCACAAGAGTGTGAACTCTTGAAGATTCTCCTCACTAGCCCATTTAAATTATCCCAATGCTTGAACAACCAGAAGAGGAGAGGCAGTTGGTGGAAGCCTTTCATCTGATGTACCAGTGGGATTTCTCTCTCTCTGTAGCATCTACCAGGTCTGTTAAGGGGTCTTGGTCAATGAATATACAGTGGTCCCTCGTTTTTCATAATTAATCCGTTCCTGGAGGAGCTACTATAAACGAAATTTACGATTTGCGAATCAGTTTTCCCCATAAGAAATAATGTAAATACAATTAATCCATTCCTGACACCCAGAAGTATTAAAACAGAAATTTTTTTTACATGAAATATACATGTAGTACATAAACAATACAATGGGAAATGATGAATGAAACATTAACACCATAACACTTACCTTTATTGGAGATTCTTCTTAGTGTATGGGAGACTGGAGGAGGAGAGAGAGTGGGTTGTTTATAGTTTGGAAGGGGAATCCCCTTCCAGCAGCACTTCAGGTGCCAATTGCTTTTCTGGGGTTGCTTCTCTTCTCTGTTTCTTAATGCCACTAGGACCACCTTGAGTCACTGGAGTCCTGTCTCGCAAAATAACTGTGGAGAGAGCTCTGTTTCTGGCATCACTTTAACACTTCCCTAAAATGGCCCAAGGCTTTGTCACTGTACATGTTGCCAACATGGCTTGCAACAACCTTGTTAGGGTGATGTTTCTCCATAAAGCTTTCCATCTTACCCCACATATTAAAAATCTCTTTAATTTCTGAAGAGGGCACCTTCTTCCATCTCTCTTCCGCCTCCTCTGCAGCAAGATTCTGAGCTGCGATGTGTTGCTCTTCCTGCTGAAGCTTTTGCAGCTCCTCAGTGGTGAGCTCTTCGTTGTGGTCTTCCACCAATTCTTCCACATCCTCCAAACTCACATCCAACCCCATGGAACTCCCCAGTGCCACAATTGATTTTACAACAGACATAGGCTCATCAGGGTCAGCCCCAAACCCTTCATAATCCCTCTTGTCGACACAATCTGGCCACAATTTTCTCCAGTCAGAGTTCAAAGTCCTGGTAGTCACTCCCTCCCAAGCCATACCTATAAGGGTTATGCAATA